CAAAGTGTGTTAGCACAGTTATGTTCGGACCTGTTCAGGTAGAACTTGAGGAATGCCATCGAATATATAATTCGATTGCATGAACTAAGCAGTTTACTAATGAAAATGTATATGTGCAGGTCAGTTTTTTAAAAGCTGAGAAAAAATTTAATAGAAGAAATCTTATCCATTAACATATTTTTCTGGATGAAAAAAAGAAAAACCCAAACACATCATTTTCTTGTAGCTTTTAAACACCTTGATCTGCTGCTCCACAGGCTCAGGATTTGGGAACCACTCTATTAGAATATTGAGCAGATTAGTCCTGTCTGTATAAAAATGGCCTCACCACGTTAGAAAGGAAGGAATGTTACGTGTTCTCGTCAGCTTGATTGTGGGCACTTCTAGAGCAAGGACCATGTCGTACTCATCTTTGCATCCCTGACACACTGCATGAGAGATCATAAATACTTAATAAATGTGGTTGAATAGATGATGATTAGTGTTATTTATGGATTAGAAAAGCATGTTTCTATTTAAGTAAGCTATAACAAGTATTGACTACTGTAAATATATGTTAACATAAAAAAATAACTTGGAAGGTCTGTGTGTCCCAGGTATATTATCATCTTTATGAAAATAATCCATTTGAGTTTCTTTAGAGCATTAGAAAAATGAATTATTTTGAGGATTTGAAGAAAATGTTCATTCTTTGTTGTCACTTTGTTCAACAGTAAAACTTTATTTTCAGTGTTCCTACTCTGTATTGTTTACACTTCGGAGGATTTTTTAAAAATCACCTACAATCTGTAAAGAGTGTATATATTCTTTTCAGCATCTGTTTGAAAAGACTTGCAGTTAAACTTGACCTTTCGATAATCACTTTTACAGCTCATTGTTCTAATAGTAAATTGTAAATGTGCTTCATGGATATATGGCTGTCAGTCATCAGTTGTCTTGTGGTATTTATTGAATGTCCATATACTAATGGTGCACAGATACTTTTTTCTATAAACCTTTTGACTGTGCTGTAATTCATTCTTAGGATTTAACTTGAAGATACCATAGTTGCTGGCACTTGATGTTTAGCAATAAAAGAATAAATGTGTACCAGCATTCTGTTTTATCATCATCTGTGTGTTGTCTTTTTAAAAAAATATTTGTTCCCTTTACATACAGTATGATCTTAGCTGTTTTTAAATTCTTGATTCTAAAAGCAGCTTTCCATTTTCACTCAAGCAATCTGTATGTGAAAGTTACTGCAGGTCATGGAAAGAAGTCTTTTTTTGAATGAGATTCCTGCGTTCTTGCTACTGTTTTAGATATAGCCTGTTTATAGACGAATAAAGAGCACTATCATGTTTCCTTTCCTTAGGGTCTGATGGAAGTCTTCTTTAAGTTAGTCTATGTTTTTAGAAATTCGTGGAAGAAAAGTATTTCAGCTGTGACATTTGATTCTTTTTGACCTTTTGCCCTAGTGTCTCCTCCCTTGTCCACAGAGCCTGCCTCTCTTATTAATTCTCTCTCCGTTACTAAGGGCCATGTAAAAGAGGCGCCTACATCC